TGGTTCAAAGAATCCAGATCATCCAAGACCAATCCTAAGAGAGACTGGTACATCTGGAGACCTCCAAGAATCGATGAGAACGGGAATAGACAACCACCAGCTAACTGGGCTTCACATTTCTCAGGATCCGCTTGGGCGTACGACGAGTTGACAGATGAATATTACTTGCATCTTTTCGCCAAATCTCAACCAGACTTGAACTGGGAGAATCCGGAAACCAGAGAGGCAGTCTATAAATCTGCCATCAAATTCTGGTTAGACAAGGGCATTGACGGATTCCGCATTGACACAGCCGGTATGTACTCCAAGACCTACCCGATCCAAGATGCTCCGGTCAAGTACCCAGAAAACGAGTTCCAGCCATGCCACTTGTACTTCCAGACCGGCCCACGTATTCATGAGTTTCACAAGGAAATCTACGACAAGGTGACCAGCAAGTACGATGTCATGACTGTGGGTGAGGTGGGCCACGGCAGCCGTGAAGAATCGTTGCAGTACGTCAGTGCCAAGGAAAAGGAGATGAATATGATCTTTTTATTCGATGTGGTCCAATTGGGGACCGTCGCCGAAGCGGGACTGCGTTTCCAGTCGAAGCTGTTTGATTTGACCGACTTTAAGAGTGCGGTTCAAAACCAATGTGAGTTTGTTACCGGTACCGATGCTTGGTCCACAGTGTTTATCGAAAACCACGATCAACCGCGTTGCATTACCCGGTTTGGTAACCCCACCCGGGAGTACCACCACAAGTCTGGGAAGTTGTTGGCAATGTTAGAGGCTGCCTTAACTGGTACCTTGTTCATCTACCAGGGTCAGGAGATTGGTATGACCAATTTCAGTAAAGACTGGGATATTTCCGACTACAAAGATCTCGAGTCGTTGAACTTTTATAATGAGTTCAAGGCTAAAAATGGCGACAACGAAGAAGCGATGAAGAAGGCGCGTGCCGATTTGGCGTTGGTGGCAAGGGACCATGCCAGAACTCCGGTTCAATGGGACGACACCGCCAATGCTGGGTTCACCACCGGGACCCCATGGATGAAGGTGAACGACAATTACCCTGAAATTAACGTCAAATCTCAGCTTGAAAACCCATCTTCACTCTTGTCTTTCTACAAACAGGTTTTGAAGCTCAGGAAGAGCTACAAGGACTTGTTTATTTATGGAGATTTCAAGATTCACGACTACGAAAACTTGGACACCTTTACTTTCACTAAAACTTTTGGTGGTAGGTCTGCGTACATTGTGTTGAACTTCAGCGAGAAGGAACACGAATTCAAGCCGTTGATCGACGGACAGCTTGAGTTATTGATTGCTAACGTTGACAACGTAAAGGAGAGTACGTTGACCGCCTACGAAGGGAGAGTCTACCTTTCTAAATAGAATGAAATGTGTGTTGCACTTAGTCATCAGTAATACGTTACAACGGGTAAATAAGATATATTAAGCCTTGTTAAACTTCATATGTTCTCATACTTTAGAATGTAGAACGGCAAATGAATCAAAACATAAACTTGAATTTTTTTAATGTATGGGTTAGACTATAGAAATGGAACGAGAACACTAGTTTAACCCCACTATGAGTAGTTTGTGCTAAATTCAGTGGGCTCGAGCAAATCTGGACTAGAGAATGACCCTAAGTGAGGACGGAGTTTAGCCAAGGACGGTATGTACTACAAGGCGCCGTCTGGTTTCCGATGGAACTCTCTGATCGCACCTGCAGGAGAAGTGAAAAGTCGCCCAGCACGTACATCCGTATCGGGTAGCGATGAGCATGGGTTCAAATTCTTGTATGCCTTTTTCACCTGCAATACTTGCTCAGGGCTCGTCTGACGACCCCATGTCCTGCTTTAACGTGATATTACCCGCACAAATGTCTGGGCATCTTATGAGACAAGGATAACGATGACTCTAACCAGCTCAACTATAAAGCCTTCGCTTACCAGTCCGAGAATCCAATTTTTCGTTCACATAAACAGACATGACAATTACCCAAGATTCTACCTGGTGGAAGGAAGCCACCGTTTACCAGATCTGGCCCGCTTCTTACAAAGATTCCAACGGTGACGGTGTGGGTGACAT